CTGGCGAACACGGAGATGACCACAACTCGATGTATGCAGGGTCGACTCAACCATTCGGCAAGTGAGACACTCGGCTAGGGTTCCAACTTGCCTTGGCCCCACTCACCCAAGCATCTTGATACTAAGTTGAAGCTTAAATAATTGTATGTTAGAGTTTAGTAAAAAGGGAACAAAAAAAAAAAAAGAATGAATGAATGAAAGGAGAAGAAAGAGATTATGAAATAGTATTATGTGTAGAACATGTGTTGCCAACATCATATTGCCTATTTATATTAGATTGATACTGAAGATAATTACAATATTCAAAAGTAGGGCATAATAGGAAAGTGACATAATAGGAAGTAGAAAAATAGAAGTAGAACAATAGCACAATAATACTTTAATAGTGTAATGATGCTAGTGTTAAATGCATGGCCAGTCATTTTGGTTTCGGTTGAAGATGATGTGTAATTAAATTAAGAAAAAAATGGACAAGTGTTCTGCTGCTTTCCGTTTGATATTAACCACGTAGCTGAAAGGATCCCTCTCTTTCCTTTTCTGCATTGGTTTTTTAATTTTTGCTATTTGTGTGGCCTCCTTGACTGGCAAATTGAAATTAGATCTTGTTTCATTATCTTCTATTCTGCCTGGCAGATGAAGAGGGAAATAACAATAAACTCCTGGGGTCTTTCATCTGCCATTTTATTCATGTAAACAAAAAGCACTGTAGGATCATCAAGGGAACTGAGGCTGCCTACAATTTAGTATTGGTGCCTAAGGTTAAAATTTTTATGGTTTATAGATGAGAAGGTAAGATTAAGGTTTGGGGAATGGAAGAAATGTTAAAATGCTCAAGTTTTGAGTATAAAAAAAGCTTTGCTGGGAATTCTGGTCAGCAAGGATTCAAGGGTGTCTTATAACTAGGATTGGCTTTAAGGGTCACAGAGTTTGAGTTTCTGGGAATGAAATTGGTAAAGGCTGGAAGAATCTGGCATCCAACATTCCCACCGTAAATAAAATAATGGAGTCTCATAACTAAAATCTGCTAAACATTTTCTCGATCAATTGGTTGTATTGTCTGTACAAAGCTTGGTTGTATAGAGGAAAGGGTGAATGCCACTTTACATCCCGAAAGATCTTTAAATTCTCAATTTACACCCTAAAAGATTAAAATTTTTAGATTGCATCCTCAATAAGAGGCAGCAATGTTGCCCAAATCAACAGTTCAGTTGCTTTATCTGTCAATTTTTTGGGTGGTAGACTTTATAGGTTTTCATTTCTATGCTCAATTATTTGTATATCACTCAATTTTAAGTATTTATATCAAAATTTCCTACTCAATTTAATAAAAGAGGAAGTCAACTGTATATCTCTTGTCTTTTTTATGTGATTAAAGGTGCAATTTGAAAGTTTTAATCTTTTAGTGCATAAATTGATAATTTAAAAATCATTTGGGGTGCAAATTGTCATTCACCCGAGTAGAAAAGAAAATTTTCTCCTGAAATGAGGATTTTCTTAATCCTTGAAGACAAAGGATTCCTGTTAGTTCATTGGGCGATCTATGACTTCTACTCTCCTCCTTCTAGAATACACTTTTGCAGGGGCTTATTCAAATAAAAAAAGTGTGCCTGGTTTTTGGATATCATGGTTTGGATTCTATATCATTAAGTTGTTTAGCAAATTACAGTATACTGCACTATCCCCTCTACAATTTAATGCTTAAGGTTTATAACTAAGTTTTATAAATTTGAAAGTAGTCTTTTAGCAATGAAGTTGCTCACTGCTGACTAATAATGTGAGAAAACCACAATTAGAATGGAAAAAAGTGTTATCCAGTAACGCCATACTGTCTTGGTGCTGAATGTTATATAGTTTCTACTTAGATGTGGAAAATAAGTGCCATGTGGCATCACTATCATTTTAAAGTCCAAGATTGGGTGGTCAAGAAAAAGGGGAACCATTGGGCAAGTTGAGTCCAGTCCACTTGTGAAACTCCCAATTTGGTTACTTGATTTGTGGGTTTCAATGGAATTTGTTTTTTTTTTGATTTAGTTAATTTTGCAGTTATAATAAAAGCAGCAACCAGATCCAAAGGTCGACTGAATTTCAAGGCTTGTCTGTCCTTCATTTTCTTGAAACCCACACAGCCTAATGCTCCATTTTCGTTTGGTAGGAGGGAAGAATAGACAGAAGGAATGGGAAGCATTGTAATTTTCTTCTTTTTGTGGGGAAAAAGGGGACAGGGAAGGATGAGAGAAGGGATGCATTGTCTCCCTGGGTCAAAGATATCCTTTTCTCTTAAAGTGGGAGGAAAGGATGAGACAAGTAGAGTTTATCCTTTATCTTTTGTCCCCTCAAACAAAACTATTTTTCATATACAGGTAAAATGATGAAATTTATGTAAACATGTCTTCCCTTTCTTCTTCCCCTTTTACTCAGCTAAACACAAGGAAAAGTGGCTTCCTTTCCCTATGGTGGCCTTTTCATCCCTCCAACTAATAGAGGCTAGTGAACGTGTCATACAAGGATTTACAGGCGGCATGGCAAGGATGCTTTCAAGACCCAAGCCATAATTTGACATGTGTTGGATAGTGCAGGCCCAACTTGGGCCCTTGCACAAGTTAGTCTTGAGTCCTTCATAGAAGTGGTCCATTTGTCTTACTATGGGTCTTGTTATGATTTTCAGTCACATTAGTTGGTTTAGTAGAGTTGCTAGGCAAGTTGTTTCGGTTTTTAAATTGGAATTGTAGTCCTTGTTGGAATAGATCTCTTAGTGACAAGCAATCTTTTTAGATTGAGTTGGTAGGGCTTTGTTGTTTGCAAGAACAAAATTTTGTTTCAGTCACTTAGGAAATGAAAACGTTATGAAATTTTTCAAAAATATTTTGGGAAATACAATGGAAATGGAGAAAAAAATTAGAAATTTTTTTCTGAAATACTGGTCAAGACACCTCAAAACACCTTGTAAAATAGGAATTCTGATATCCATTCATTAATCTGTTTCAGCTGTTTTGATCATTTTGTTACGAAATTTCGATCCTTTGTTGGGTGGCCTAATGATGTATTTCATCCATATTTTGTATGGATTGCAAAGGTTTGAGTGTTGTAAGGGGTGTTACATTTGGAATTATTTGGATTATTTAGTTGGAAAGATCTAGAATTTTTAAAGATAAAGAAGTAATGGAATAGTCGTGGGCTCAGATTTATTTCTTAACTTCTTTTTTGCTTTGGTGACTAAGAAAGTTGAGAACCTCCTTGTTGTTTGTATTATGATGACTTGGATAGTATCATGTGGAGGACAGGACGGGTTTTGGAGGATGCTCTACTGTTTTCTGATTTTTCCTGTTTTTTGAATGTAATAGGGTACTGTTCAAAAAAAAATGTAATAGGTTTGGGCCACATGTCCACCTTTGTTGAAGTCTGCTCTTTTTTTTTTTTTTTATGACTTGTCCACCTTTGCTGAAGTCTACTTTAAATATCAATGAAAATTTGTTTCTTATCAAAAAAGGAATAAGGGAGATCAGTTTTAGAGAAAATTTTCATAGATTGTGAAGCCTCTTTCAACCAAACTCTAGTCCACCCTTTTTCTTGACTAAGCGTAAGCCAAATAGCTTATATTTTGTACCAAAACTTGGTCGAGCTGCATCACCTACTTGTCTTTCCGTCTGACTTTCCGTGTGTCCTGCCAAACAGGTCATAAATTCACTCCTTGGTTCTCTGGACGATACAACAATGTTAAAGAATACTATAATACTGCAAAGTGATCGGACAAAGAAACTCCAATAAGCAATTGGCTAAATTTCCTGATGCCTCATTTGAATGGGTTTTCAATTAAATCATTTCATTAGTTGTGCACTAGATCATGTAGGCTATCATGTTTTCCCCTCCACACATTGTTCTTGTACAGTTTTGGCTGATAAAGCTGGTTAAAACCTTAGGCTGTGCGGCAGTTTGGGTCTGATCTATCAATGATACAACAACTTTTCCCTGGTCGGACACGAAGGCAAGTGAAATTGAAATATAAAAAAGAAGAGCGGCAGCAGCGATTGCGGCTTCATGAAGCCCTGGCTAATCGTGCCAAAGGTGAACTTCTGTACTTTTGGTATCTCCCATCTTTTTATCCTTGTGATTTTTTATTTTATATCTCAGCAACATCTTTGTGTGTAATATACAACTGTTCAATTCATCAGGGAAAGCAAAGATATTTGCCAGTGTCATGCATGAATATTTTCATGTTTTTACTCAAAAGATGATAATTAGGTTGACATCTAATTGTAGCAAGACATTTAATGGTATACAATTCTGAATATGGTCACCTAGATTTTTCCATGCTAAGCTGATAAATGATGAGAGCTCATATCTGGAGTAAGGTTTTAAAAGTGAAGAACCAAACACCATAAACTTTATAGGTTTGGGGCAGTGTGACTCATTCTTCAAGTGAATGACAATATAGTATTTAGTCCATGAAAAAACTGTCCAATATAGTATTTAATATTCTGTTGCTGGGATGGTAATTGCAGTTTCTAAAGGTGGGAAGGGTGCACTCCGTTAATCCCAACATTCGATTTTCTTTGTCGGATTGCAATCTTTGATTCGGACTGTGAAACCCAATTAGAATGAATGTTGGTATTACGCTTGCATCGTCTGACTTGTACTAGAAGCGTATTTGTAATGCTTATTACTAAAGAGTAGTTATCATTAATGGGGGTTTGGGAGGGGCAGATTGGACACACCTGTAACATTTAAAATTATTTACATAGTGTGGTTGTCTTTCGGTTCAAACCCTCAAGCTCAAGGTTATTGGGCCTCATCAAAGGGACACTGTCAAATACTCCACCTTGCATGCTTGGGAGTATTAACCACTAAAAAACTGTTCAATATGGTTCTTGGTAGGTCATTCCAGAGAAGGTTTCAGTGTACATTTGACCAGCAGTATACACGTGTTTAACTAAAGCATGTGTCTTATATTCTGGATTTAGCATGTGATAGCCAATTGGAAGCTTCAGTGGACATTATGGTGAGTGGGTTTGCCTGGAAATTGTGCATGATAAGTTGGCATTTTCTTGTAGATCATACCCATTTTAAAATTGTGATTGAGCGGCTTCAAGAAATTGCTGCTGAGGAAAAGCATAACTCCAACTTGGATGATTCAGTTGACTTGGCAGACGAGGATCCAGCAGAGACGGCAACTCCTGAAACCAATGTATGGCTCTTTGGTTTTTGTAATTTTGTTTGGAGTGCAATATGCCAGCATTTGGTTCGAGATTGTGTAGGAAGATCATCAATCTGAATATCTAGTGTGCAAAGTCCTGTGATGTTTATAATAGCTTTCCTGTGTGTTTAAGGCAATCAATTTTGCTCCTTTACTGCTGTATTGTTTGCCCTCAATTAAGACCACCAGATGAGTACACATTGAAGACTAGATATAATATATAGGGTAATAAACGATTTTATGGACCATCTAATCAAACGCTTAACTTTTTTCCAGAATTGCATATGTAAACAGCAGGCCACAAAATGTACAAAAATATTATCTCCCATTTGTGATCCATCATTGAATTTTCTCTACAATCTGTATGCTCTTTTCAACGAATTCAATTTATGGACAGCTCTTACCATGAATAAGTAGAATCTGGTAGTGACTGTGTTTATGAAAATCTAGTTAAGCTGATCTATGCGTATGTTGTGTGTAAAATGTGTCTGCGGCAATTTCGCTCTCCTAGACTTCTTAAGGATATACTAGGTTCTTTGTCAGTGTGCTTCTAGCATGCAATATCCTTCTTTAGTTTAAGCTTCATAGTTATTTTCGTGACTATTGGTGGACTGATTCTCACTTTTGCATTGTATTGATTTGTGCAGGAAGAAGTTACAAAATATGAACAGACTGAGGAAGGAGAAATTGAGATTATGGAAACAGATGTTCCTGAGGTTCATAGTCCTGTAAAATCTGACAATAGTGAAGATGACTGTTACAGATGGAGTCAATATAAAAGTGAACTGTAAATATCAAAGGCAAAGAACACCGACTCTTGCTGGTTCTATTCGTTATTGATATATCATTGTTTTGTTTTGCTTTGCAGTTCAATAAGCTTATAAAAGAAATTGATGGTGTGAGCGAGCCTAACTTGCAACTCTTTCACTTACTCCAGCATGCCTGCGTTATACACCCACATAAAACCCATGCCTTAATGCTGTTAATCATTGAGTTTTTTGGGTGAGTATATTTTTTTAGACTTATTTGAGAGGAAGTGTATGAATAAGTATTTTACTCTATTAAATTCAATTTTAATAAAATATCTTGTAATTAGGTACAAAATTCAAATAACATTTGAACTTGTCTAATAATCATTCCTTAAATTATACATAATTTTTATTTTTTAACTCTCTCCCTCTCTCTTTCCTTCTTGCACTCTATCTTCCTATTTTTCCTCTATCTCTTCCTTTTTTATTCTCTCACATTAATAATTATTTTTTAAAATATATAAATATTTAATTTAATTTTTTTATCTCACTCTTCCCTTATTTCCTCTCACTATTACTATCACTCTTTATTCTCACTTTTTTTATATCAATGTTACAAAAATATAATTGCATCAGTCAATTACACCAATAAATTATAATTGTTTTATAATATATTAAATAGTTACTTATATGTTTTGATAAATCAAACTGATAAATAATTTAGTATCATAGTATGGTTATATCAATTATATACATCAAATTGATGTAATGGTAAACTCTTTTGTGTAATGATATACTGGTTTGGTGAATATAATTGGTATAACTATGTAGTGATATTAAATGGTGTAACTCTTTAGTTTATGTAAACGACTGAATGACAAATTGAGTTTGTAATGTAATTCATGTAATTGTTTGTTGTAACTATTTAGTATAACTGTTTAATTTATTAAAATATATAAGTAACTGTTTAGTGTATTATATGTTAATTGTAATTAATTAGTATAATTATTTGTTGTAATGTTGATATAAGGAGAGAAAGAATAAGGAGAGTAAGGGTGAGAGAAAATTGTGGGTAGAGAGAATGAGTGACAAAGAGATGAAAAAATCAAATTAAATTTTTATATATTTGAAAATAAAATAAATTATCAATTGTGAAGAAAGAGTAACGGAGATAGATAGAGAGAAAATAGGGAAGAGAGAGAAATGAAGAGGAAGAGAGTAATGGAGTAATAAATGTTCTTTTTTCAAAAAAAATGCACTTAAGGTCAAATAAGTTTCTTTAATATAATTTAGCTTAATTAAATCCAAATTTATATTGAATTCCAAACTTCCTTTAATTATTTGGATGGTCCAGAGGGAGTACATAAGCTATATATTAAGGAACTATTAAACTAATGGGTTTCACTAGAATTTAATGTAAGTTTGTGGTACATCACATTTGGTGCAAAAAAAAATTGTGCACTCTGTTTTACTCTTTTAAAAATCAGAAATGTTATGCACACCAACTTTCTTGCACCACATAAATATAAACTATTGGTTAATAAGTTCCACTAATTTTGTTTTAAACATTCAATAAATAATATTGTCACATTATTTGTTGCACAAATTTGATAGACACAATTTTAACTCTTTTACACTCAATAATGTTACACAAACAAAATTTTTTACTAATTTGTTTTGCACAGTTAATGTTAACGATTAGATGAGTGGGTTCTAGTAACTTTTATTAAACATTCAATGAATAAAATTGTGTCACATCATTTGGCACAAAAAAAATTGGTGACATAGATTTAAGCTTTCAATTCTGTAATGCTACACATACCAAAAAATTTTGCACCACATCACTGCAAACTTCAGATTAATGAGTCTCATTAGCTTTTCATTAAAAGTTCAATATAGAAGATTGTACCGCATCATTTGGTGCAAACTTTTAGATACACAAATTTGGAAAACAAAAGGTTACTCTTTCAAATATATTCTGCAAAATTAATAGCACTAAATCAATATAAACTATCAAATTAATAGGTGTCATTAACTTTTATTATATTATATATTAAATAAAAAAATGTGTCAAAAAAATTGATGCAAAAATTTTAGTACACAAAGCTTTACACTTTAAAATCTAGTAATGTTACACAAACCAATCATTCTAAATTTCTTGGACTACATCAAGGTAAATTGTTGAATTTATAAGTCCCACTAGCTTTCATTAAATATTAAATGAATAAAATTGTGATACATCATTTGATGAAAAAAAATGGGTGTGCAAATTTTGGGGACACAATTTACTCTTTCAAATTCGGAAATGCTACACAAATAAAATTCTTCACCAAATTTTTTGCACCAAATCAATGTAAAATAGTTGGATTAATGAGACTACTAATTTCTACTAACCATCCAATAAATAAGATTATGTTACATTATTTGGCACACACATATTTACACTTTCAAATTCACTAATACAACATGTGATGACCCATATATATATAAATTATTAACACATTAATTAGGTCATTAATTTTGATTCTATATTTATTTAATTCATTACTTTGTCCTATTCCTGCATTTATTCGTGGTTTTAATTATATTATGCATTGTTTTAAAACTTTGGTAGTCATTGATAAACGTTATCCTACTGAGCTAGTGAGCTCATCCCTATTTAATATTTTTCAGATATATGAAGTCAAGCTGGAGTATAGGTTGAAAGGATAGAGTCTGCTATTATTATTTCTCTTTATGTTGTGTCAAAAATATTTGAAATGATCTTGTGAGGATTATGTACTCGTACGTAAAATAAAATAATATAAGGAAGATTATTGTAAGTTCGGTGTAATTTTTATTCCTTACTCACACTCGGGTATTTTTTTAAAAAAAAGAAAAGAAATTTCGAGGTGTAATAGAGTGGTATCAGATCCTGGAATTAGATCTTACATGAGAATTATATATATAAACTAAATAATGGGATTAATGTACTAATACTGAACATATTTTATGGACATATTATTTTTTTTTTATCAACAGAACTAACTTTTTATGACTATAGGTATGACATCTTGGGATGATCTTTACATGGCTCATAGTAACATGGGCTCCGAGGCGGTTAGTGAATACCGGACTATTGGAGTTAATATAGAGGCCTACAATCTGATAGTCCACGAAATTCAAGATGTGTCCCAAAATTGGTCATTCATGCCGATCTCTGAACATAAAAAGTTAGTACATCACAGACTGACCACGCAGCTAAGGGTGCTCCGCCAAGCACTAAGTATTGAAAGGAATCACAACCTGTACCAGGAAATTTTGAATGGATTGCCAGTATAAGACATTCAGTGGGCAGCTGCAGGGGCATCCAATAAAATCCCCTAACTTGGATAATAATGAAGAATATGACCCACAACCTCACAAACCCAACGTAGCCCCTATAGCCGCACCACCTGAAGCAAACCATCCTACAAATTCTGCGGGTTCTGCGAACTAATATGTCTCCAGGGGGGAGGGACATGGAACTTCTTGGTCCCTAACTGTACTGTCGGCTTTACTATTCTAAAAAATTTTGCTTGTAAATAATAGTAACTCTTAGAATGGTAGGAATATATGTATCACTACATAACTTAGAGGTGACTGTCCTAGACTTTTGTTCTCCATGTGAATAGCATCTAGGATAAGAAAACAAAATGTATCTTAGTTACTAATTATGTGAAATTAGAGTTGTTTTCTTAACCTTTGGATGTGGTTATAGTTTTTAATGCAGACATAATATCATAAACTATGTGTTATAGGATGGAGGGAAACACATCTCAAGACCAACCAGAGATGTCCATCAATGACCAGTCCCCTCCAGCACTGCAGAACACTATAAGTGGTATTTACCAATGTCTGAGAGAACTGACCACTTTGGCACGCCAACAGGCAGAAAATAACAACCATACTACGGTAATACAACAAACAGTTCAGGAACAAGCAAATGTGGCTGAAATGCGAAGAATGATGATACTCAAATAATTTCTACGACAACGTCCCCCTACCTTCCAGGGAAGTACAGAGCCACTTGATGCAGAGAGGTGGCTTCGACAAGTGAGAAAAGTAATTGATGGTATGGATATTGTCCCAGAACTACGAGTTACCTTGACCTCTTATCTTTTTGAGGGTGAAACCAATCACTGGTGGGATACAGTCAAAAGAATGAGGAACGTAGACCAAATGATATGGACCACATTTGAGAAAGTGTTCAATGATAAATATTTTCCAGAGTCCGTAACGGATAAAATGTTCTCTGACTTCCTAGAGTTGCAACAACGCAACTTGACAATCACGCAATATGAATCTAAATTTGCTGAACTCTCTCTCTCTTTGCCACGGAATTAGTTTTCACCGATGCCAAGAAGGCCAAACGATTTGAACAAGGCCTTAAGCCTTTTATTCGAGGACGCCTTGTAGCACACTGACTGAGAAACTATAAGAAACTGGTAGAAAGGGCTATGCTGGTAAAAAGAGAACTAGAGGATACCCAGAATATTAGAAGTCATTAACAAGGCAGAGGAAGTCAGACAAGAAATGGTGGGAGCAGTAGTCACCAAAGAATGACCCCATATCGACGGCCAGGGCAAGATACCAATGAAAGGAGAAGTGCGAATCAGAGACAAAATTCTGGAATTGGAACAGAGCATCCAATGATACAAAACGGTGTTTTAAGTGTGGGCAAACTGGACATTTTAAAAATCAGTGTCCCTTCACGTCCTCTCAAGGGTCAGCCAATCAAGGTTCTTATCAGCCATTCACGCAATCTCGTCCACAACAACGCCCTTACCCTACTCAACCGAAAGATTGACAACCCAAGTTGGACCTTCACAGTCGTTTCCAAATCTGGCACAACAGAAAAAGCCAGGAAATAGAACAACAATTCCCGAAGGTCAACCTCGGATCTATGCAATGGCTACACCGGATAACGACGCTGCTAATGAAGTAATTGAAGGTATCGTTCTTATTTATAATTCTTGGGCACATTTCTTATTTGATCCGGGGGTAACCCATTCTTTCATTCGTACTTCATATGTTGTTGCCTTAGGGTTAGAATTAAAACCTTTGGATCGCACATTGTGTATAAACCTACCTACGGGAGATTTCTTGGAAACAACTAGGGTATGTA